TGGATTTGAAGCACGATCGAAGGTCCATACAGCGGTTCGGTCTGCTGACATCAGCGACTATCCCCAACCCGTGATCTAGTCAGGAACGCCTCCAACGTAAGACCACGCATCCATTTCTCGAACCCTCATTATTTTTGAGGCAATGTAGGCTTTACCGTGGGATCCTTTTTGGGCTCCCTCGACATCTCTACAATGGGCTAGCAGCCGAGAGCATGATGCGCCTTCGCGACTGGACTCTGTAGCCAAGACCGGACATCAATAACTTGCTGTCACCGAGGATCATACGGTTAAGGCTTGAAGCAACCTTTCTCCTTTGCATTTCTTCTCGTTGCGAACTGTTATTCTGTAGCAGTTCGTGGAGAAAAAAAGGCCGCCCCGGGTCCAAACGGTTTGGGCGCCTGGCAAACCGGCCTTCTCCTCATGGGGAATACGTGTGACGAGACCAAGTTCCTTTTCCGAAAGCACGAGAAGAAAGGATCAGGAGCAGGAGAACATGGCCCCTCGATAGCCTTGATGTCATCCGTTCGACTTCTATTTCGTGCAACGAACGAGAATGACTCCGACCGGCCAGGCCGATCATATCTCGCGGCCATGGAATTTACCCGAGTTGACGAAACAGAAGCGGTGGGCGTAAACTTTGACGAGATATCCGCACCTCGCTCAACAATCACGCCAAAAAAAAGAAGAAATAAAACGAAAAACTCTCAATTGCATGCTTGCTTTTGTGAGGCTGCTTTGGGGGGCTGGGAGGCCTGAGATGAGCTCATACTAGGAAGAATGCTTGAAGAAACAGGATTCTTCAAGAGGATTGAAACGGGAATCATCTTTTTGAACTGCTGTTGATCCCATTGTTGACCCATCATTTGTGGTTTTTGGAGGAGAGCTATCCGGATCATGAAGGTGAAGTGTAAAAAGAAAGGAAAAGATTGCCAGAGCCAACGCAAAGAAAATCCGCAAGAAGAGAGTTCGTGTCGGACGTGAAAGTTTGACCTGGAATAGTTTGCTTTGATACGGAGCGCTCGTAGCCATTTTTTTTGGCGAGACATTGGTCTGGCCTTTTCAGCCATTCATTCCGGTTTTGAGCGTTTCTTCTTCGGCACAGGTCAGAGTTACTTTGCACTCTCGCTTTGAGCACTTGTCTCTCAGTCTCAACGGCCGCGAGACGGGTCATTCGAATCTGTGGTTGGAATCCGAGCAGGCCTGCGTATTGGTGTTAGGGATTGGTATCAAGCTAAGCTGGGGATGGAAATACGGTGAAATACACGAAACAGTCGAGGCATGACGGCACCTCACTTGGTTCCGCGGCAGAGCCGGTTTTGTGACTGGTCAGATTCGCCTGATGACATGGGTGGCTGGTAAGATTGAGTCGAGGGTTGAGCTGCAAACGGCGGGAAATGGACTGGACATCACTTGTCATTGCCATCTGCAAATACTCCTGCGACGGTTTGGCCCTGTTGTTTCCCCGGGGTGCGCGCGCATCAGGCGCTGAAAGGGATTGAAAGCGTTTTTCCAGGAAAGAATACCGCTCGGAGACGCCATTACGCAGGCCACTGGGAACGGGATCGTATTGCATGACCGGCGCATTATTGGCCGTGGGCCGGTGGGGTCAGGCTGAGCGGGCGGCCAAGAGGCGCATTCGAGCCAGTCATCTTCACCGACACGTCGAGACGAGTACTTAATTCCCCATCACAGCTGCCCTTGGTTCGCAAGGACACAAATATTCTGCTTTTCCTGGTCATTTGCAGACAGCCCATTGCAGGAGAACAGACCGTGCGGATTTTCTTGGTCGTCCTATGGGCGCAGTTGCATTCCGGCCGCTGACCACTCAGGTGCGACATCCCCTGGCCCTCCCCCTGGTTGGTGCGTTGCTGTGTGGCCGCACCGCTTCTGCCCCCGTCGCCGTCCCCTCTCGTCCTATCCGCGCTCCCCTTTTTGGGTTTGAATTTTTTTCGCTGTCCACCCGCACGCCGGTCAGGTGACGCCGCTAGCGCCGCACTGAGCCTCGCGGCGCTGCTGACTGGCTCGTTCTTAAAAATACGCCTTTTGCTCCTCGCTGACGATTTGTCCAATTGTCTCTGCCAGAATATTCTCCCCTCCTCCAGTCAACCACTGGAAGTTTGCTTGGTCACTTGCCCCAAGCTTCGCCTCTGCCCCTTTGGAACGCGCTTCATCCTATCAACCGTCGAGCAACGCGCACTCGCGCCGTTTCGCTAAGCGCCAGCCCATCCGCCGTGACACGCACGATTCGTCCCTCGACAGCCTGCGGCACTCGTCCTCGCCACCCAACATCGTGTCTTTTGCAAGTCAGGTGAGGAGGCAATTTCCTGCAACTCTGCGCTGACTCAGCATCGCGTCCCTGATATCATTGGACTCGACTGCTCCTCTTCTTCTTCCCCAGTTGCTTTTTCCCCCATTCTCATTCGTTTCCCTTGATTGCTTGTCCTTTCTTCTCTGCTGTGAAGAACAATACGCCCAATCACCGTCTCTGTGCTTGCTTGCTGCTCCTGCGACCTGATTGATTGACCAAAGCACGGTCATCGGTCCGGCAGATCCTCGTCTCCTCACCCAACCAGCAGTATGTACCCAGTCACATCGCGTCCTGCGCCCTTTTTATTTCCTATTTTCCTGGGCACCAGTCACATCACAGCCCATCACACTCCGAGTCAAAAAGAAGCTTTCTTGGTTTCAATCCAAAGTCAACAGACAATGTCAACGCCTCTGGTCTGAATGCTTTGATTTGCCAGCTGTCCATTTTTCTCCTATTTTTTACCCCAGAATCTTGTCTGCATGGTGCCCACAAGCGCCTGCATCCACACCTTCTTTGCCCCCCGTGACCGTTGAGGACCTGAATGCTTGCGCTCCTGCAGCAGGAAAAAAGTGGGTGTGCTCAGAACGTGCGCCAGCACCCAGTCCGGTCTCCCCAGGTCTCCCCAGGTCTCCCCCGCCATCTTACACTTGTCTCATCCTGCCCTCTAATTATATCAATCTCGGGAATTTTATTTCTGGGTCTCACTATCCAATCAACCTCACTTTCGCCTCCTGCCAACACGGAGAATTTCCTGAAACTCCCCCCCATCCTTTTCTTGTTCGCCGGGACGGGGATCGTGTCGTTGCCAGTTCTTGCTTTTTTGGCTTCGTTGATCCCGACCGCTTTGACTGGTGTGCTTTGAGCCCTACCATGGCAGTTGGTGGCAGGAAGCAAGATCTTGAACGTGGATCCTCGACTCGCTTGCCAGCCACTTCTCAAGCACGACCCCTTCGCCTGCAGCTGAGCCTCACATCATCGATGGTACTTTGCGCAACGATTCCCTGGCGATTGCTTTTTCTTCCCCTTTTTCGTTCGATATCTGATTATCTGACGCGTGATCTGACAAATGCAACGTGCGATTTAGGAAAGATCTCCACCGAGTCACAGTGATACAATCGTATTCAAAACGCTCTAGCTCGAGGCAGAATTGAAATCCACCGGAAAAACAAAAAAAACAAAATAGAAAAATATCCATTATTTTGTTTCTCTCCAGCACGATTTCACGATCCTGACGGTAAGCAGACGCCCGAATTCCGTGACCATCTCCTCGTTTCCGCTACCCCCTCCCTTTCTTCTTTTCCCCTTCGATTATCGCGGCCTCTCGGGCCCGTTGCTATTAATAACCCCAATAACACGGGTCTCGTTCGCCGCCAAGGCCTCACCTGTATTGTCATCTTTCATCTGGAATACCGTACTTTGGTCTCCTCGCAAGCTCCAAGGCATCTCTATCCCGTGTCCTGAGGCGCGTATATCCGTGAGCTGGACGGAGTCGCCCTTCGCCAGCCCTTTTGTTTTTGTTTCCCCTTTGGAACCCATCGCTCTGACGACGTGTAAAAGCGCGACATCCTTAACGCCCTCAACTGAAAACCTGGGCTTCGAATCACCCCAGTGTTACCTAATCACTATACTATACCAGACCTCGACAGCCCCGGACGGCCCAACTGTGTGCTTTGCGCCTGGGATTTTTGCCTCGTTTGATCAGACAAGGTATGTGGTGTGTGTGTGGATGTGTTGTTCAACTATCATGCAGATTTCCTACAGTGATGCTGCACGCACAAACTCTTGCGTTGCCAACGCATACATGACCCAATTGACAGCCTAGCCCCATCACTGCCTCTCTTTGGTCATTTTTCACCTTGTCCTTGCATCGACCCCTCAGATCCTGCTTGACTTGGGGTTGATTTTATTCCCAATTCTACTTGTGCAGCCAGCTCCAGTCTTCTCCCTTGCTACTGGCTACTATCTACCCAGAATTGTGCACGAAACGAACCTCTTCATTCGACTGTTAGCCCCTCTGCATCCACTGGTGTTTATCCCCCCTCCGCCTTTCATTACTATTTCGGCTCTACCCGCGACGGAACTTGGGCGATGGTTTAGTAGACGCTGACATCACTGTTCTGACATAGCTCAGATAGTTCAACCCCCCTCCCTCGCCGCCCTTGGCAAAGGACCTCTAAACCTCCAAAAGTTCATCGCTGGTTATCGGTTTCGGGCACCGCCTCAACATCTGCCCTACGACGTGGCCCACTAGCCTCCCGAGGCAAATTCGCATTGATTATTGAATTCCGTCAGAGTACCGGGGGATCAGACTTGTGTCGAGTCACTCATACAGCTGAGCCCAAAAGGACTTTTCGGGTAGTTTGTCGCAATCTCGACTAACCTGGGAATTTGTTTCGCAATCTTCGGCAGTTTGGCATTTTCCCTCCCAGTGGGCGGATTTGACACACCAAAAAAGCAAAAGTCGCATCGTTCAGCATTGCCCTCGGCCGGACAACTCATCAACGCGTGAATCGCCGCTCCCCTGCCCGCTGCATCGAGGCCCAACCAATTCGCACTGTCATCTCGCGCCATCCGCGAAAGCACAAAAAACGATCAAAAGAACGCAAGCATCGCGCTGAGATCATAGTTCTTCTCTCCTCCGAACCCGGACAAGTTCTGTTCTAGTTCCATCCATACGTTCCCCGTCAAAGGCTCTCGAGCCAGCGACCCCAATAAGTTGACAGACTGGAATCGCGTGTCATTGGCGACCCTGTGCGTCCGTGGAATTCTTGGTTGCTGTGTGTGACTCGTTGACCCTCTTTTTTGTGCATTAGGTGCTGATGTTACAGTGGAGTTGCAGCCTATTTACGTCGAATCAGCGATCGCAAACCCGCGCCTTGTCCTGATTGCTCTCCCAAGCGTCTTCCTGCACAAGAGGAAGCGTTTATCCACCCACATCCAACGCTCTGTCAACCACCCTTGTCTTGCATTGTTTGTGCTGGGAACAAAATAGAGTGCTTCAATTTGCTCTCGATTATCCGACCATTCCACCTTGCTAGCGCGCTTTTTTAGCCGCTTGACCCACGAGTCGCAGTTGCCAGCCAGGCCCCACGGCGCGTTACCTCTTCCCCCAAAACAACTGCTTCGTGTGACGTGCCTAGTTACCCTCCGTCGGCACGTCGTCCACTCCTCGCATCATGGAGTATTCGACACAATATCAACAACCTCATAGTCAACACCCACACGCTTCTTCACACATGTCTGGCCCTTACCAAACCCCACAAAATACAGGCGCGCCTGTTGGGCAGATCACGTCGCCAACGAATCCTCAGACGCAAATTCACCACGGCCATTCGAATCATCAAGCATCGCCGATTCTCCCATCGCAATCGCATTACCAAGCCTCGCAACCTCCTCCCGGCCAAGTCCAACAACCGATGAATTTCCCGCAACCTTATGCCGCCATGGCACCTTCGTATGGCATTTCTCCTACACAGGCAGCAGCAATGGCCACTGCCGCAGCGTCAGGTCAATTTTTCCCTTTGCATCAAGATTCGATGGGCGGAATGGGGCAAGGCGCGCGCGGATCGCCGCGAATGTCACAAGTCAACAAGGATCGGAATCCAAGGTCACCAACCCAGGTTTCCGGTCCGATTTCCTCCCTCCCTACTCAAGTACCCATGGCCCAAAATGCTTCCATTCAGCAACAGCGAAGAATGAGCCAGCAAATGAACAGTCCTCATGTTCCAAATGCGCAGCCAGTTATGAACCACGCCATGCCTCGGCCGTCTGGTCAACCATCGATGCCACCACCTGCCCATCAGCCCGTCCAGCAAAGCCAGCCGTCGCCTGAAATGGTCACGACTACGGCGGAAGAATCGCCGTTATATGTTAATGCGAAGCAGTTCCATCGCATTTTGAAACGGCGCGTTGCACGCCAGAAGTTAGAAGAGCAGTTGAGATTGACATCAAAGGGACGCAAACCTTATTTGCATGAATCTAGACACAATCACGCGATGCGCCGGCCTCGCGGTCCCGGTGGGAGGTTCCTCACCGCTGACGAAGTGGCAGCCATGGAGAAGCAACAAGCTGCTAATGCGACTGGCGTGGAAAATATTCCAAACCATGCAGTCTCCAAAGACCATGGCTCTGGGCCTACGGGCGTCCCGTCGGGTGCGGCTCCCGGACAGAAGCGAAAAGCTAGCGGAGCCCTGAATAATAACTCAAAAAAAGCGAAAGGCGGCCTTTCTCAGCAATCGAGGATTCCAATGGCAGAAGCCGGCCTCGGTAACGATGTCGGGGCAGACGGCTGAATGATACACTTTATGACATGAATCTCCTTGCTTCTTCCTACTTTGATATCTCTGGTACTTTTTGCTGCCTCTTATTGTCGCTGTGGATTACATTAAATTTGCATGAGCGAAGCGGGAAAGGGACTGCAAAGGTTTAAATCGGGAGACCCACGATATTTTCTAAAAAAATCTTTTTGTTGAACAAACCCGAACTCAAAGAAACTACATATTGTTCCATGGTCGTCTGGTTCTCTGTTTTGCCCTTCGATTTTCTCACCATTTTCCCGCGCTTTTTTTATTATACTCGGAGCAATCCTACTCATCCCTTCAGACGACGGCGAATCGCGTTGGCGGTTCATCTTTGCCTCTCTGCGGGTCTTAACGACTCCCAACTCTAGCCTATCTACCTATTTACGGGTACTAATCCGTCAAGTCATGTCCTCATAGCTATACTTTTGATCTCGAGATCTTTATACGTTTCTTTCTCTATCCAAATCGAAATTGTTATTCATGATATTTTGGGCAACGAATTTGCTAGCCAAAGATACCAGTTTGCTCTTGTTGCGTCTTGCATGCGTTTTGTGGCATTTGTTTTTACCTTTTGGCCCAGGGTTTTGATTTTTTTCTTTTCTATTTGTACTTTTGACCTGATATTTTTTTGGATTGTTCATATGATGTTCATTTGGAAACACAATAGCAAGGACGGGAGGATTCCAATTGAAATACCTTTTTTTGGGCGCTACCTGATTGTCGCTAGGAGCAAAAGTGGACGACTGATTATCTCTTTGACTGGGTGGTGCAGGTTGGGCAGTTAAATGGGCAAGGGACAGCGGTTACTGTTCTTCTCATTTTCTCTTTCCTGTGTGTATTTACTTGGGGCTTTCTTTTGGAATTCAATCTGTAGATGTATGAGCAGCTTGGATATTCTCCGCGTTGAAAATGAACTGCACTCGCGCAGCAGTTGAGCGCATACAGACAGAACATGTTTACATTCCTTCCATCACTGTCACTGCTGGGGTGTGGCTAGTTCATCTGACATAATCCCATGCCCTCAGCAACTCACATTTTCATTGGACAAGCCTCGCCGGGATCTTAATTTCCCTTGTGGCTGTGCAGTTCCTGGTTGGAATCGGGGGCAGCGGTACTCCAACGCTATCAAAACGGCTACGATTTGACCCTCAAGGACGCGACTACCACCGGAAAAAGGGGACTGCTTGCGAACAAGTTGTTTCAGCTACGCAGTCTAAACCGGTCCGCTTGACAACAATAGGGAAACGCGCTGTTGGTACCGGCGCGTGTGAAGTGAGAGAACAGGGGGTTTTGGTTGCGTGGGGAAACCGAAGAACAAGTGTTGACAGATTCCCACTGTTCCCGGAGAGACGCGCATCATCAACTACGGACTTGTCGGCTTCGAACGCGGTCAACGTATAGAACCCAGCGGCAGATTATTCTAGGTCAACCGAGGAGGATAGACATTTCGACGAAGCCGTTGTCCGAGCAAGAAAGAAACAGACGCTATAATAGACCAATATTTTTCCTTCCAAGCCTGGCGCGCAGAACTATCTCAAGTCTATCGCGTTCGGTTTTATACGGCGGAGAGTCGAAGTCTAGGTCGCGAGCAGGAGCGTATACGCACCTGAGTGCATGGGGCGCGGGTTGAAAAGATGGCTCCTGGCGGAGGAGGGAATATCAAGGTGGTAGTGAGGGTACGGCCGTTCAACAGCAGAGGTTAGACATCTTCCCCCTCCTGGTAGCTATTGTGCTGCTCAAAACTCGCAATTTTTGGAGGAAGAAAGCTCCATAAGACTGACACGGTACCGGTGTTTATTCCAGAAATCGCCCGCTCCGCAAAATGCATCGTCCAAATGAAAGGAAACCAAACGGCTCTAACGCCGCCGCCGGGAGCCGAAGAAAAGTCACGCAAGGGCGGCAAAGCCGGCGGCGCGATCGAGGGGCCCAAATCGTTCGCGTTTGACAAGTCGTATTGGTCGTTCGATCGGAATGACAAGAACTACGCCGGGCAAGATGATTTGTTTGGTGATTTGGGGCTACCGCTGCTGGATAATGCGTTTCAAGGTTATAATAACTGTATATTCGCGTATGGCCAGACGGGTTCGGGAAAGTCGTATTCGATGATGGGTTATGGTGAGGAGTATGGTGTGATTCCGAGGATTTGCAAAGATATGTTTCAGCGGATTGAGATGATGCAGGCGGATAAGAACCTATCGTGTACGGTTGAGGTGTCGTATCTGGAAATCTATAACGAACGGGTGAGGGATCTGCTGAATCCGGCGACGAAAGGGAACCTCAAGGTCCGCGAGCACCCGTCAACGGGTCCTTATGTGGAGGATCTGGCGAAACTGGTAGTGCGGTCGTTTCAGGAGATTGAGAACTTGATGGATGAGGGAAACAAAGCGAGGACCGTGGCGGCGACGAATATGAACGAGACGTCGAGTCGATCGCATGCGGTTTTCACTTTGACTCTGACGCAAAAGCGCCACGATACTGAGACGACGATGGACACGGAGAAAGTTTCGCGGATTAGTCTTGTCGATTTGGCCGGCTCCGAGAGAGCTACGTCCACGGGAGCGACGGGCGCTCGACTCAAGGAGGGTGCAGAGATCAATAGATCGCTGTCTACGTTGGGTCGTGTCATTGCAGCTTTGGCAGACCTGTCGTCAGGCAAGAAGAAAAACGCTGCGATGGTTCCGTATCGCGACTCCGTGTTGACTTGGTTACTCAAGGACTCTCTTGGTGGGAACTCGATGACCGCGATGATTGCAGCCATTTCTCCCGCCGATATCAATTATGAGGAGACGTTGAGTACGCTACGATACGCCGACTCTGCCAAGCGGATCAAGAATCATGCCGTTGTCAACGAGGATCCGAATGCTCGTATGATTAGAGAGCTAAAGGAAGAACTTGCGCAACTGAGAAGCAAGCTTGGCGGCGGCGTGGCTGCTGGAGGCTCCGGAACCGGCATCGCTCAAGAAACGTATCCAGCCGGAACTCCCTTGGAACAGCAAATGGTGACCATCGAACAGCCAGATGGTACGGTTAAAAAAGTCAGCAAGGCCGATATCGTTGAGCAACTGAACCAAAGTGAAAAACTGTACAAGGACCTGAATCAGACATGGGAGGAGAAATTGGCAAAGACAGAAGAGATTCACAAGGAAAGAGAGGCCGCTTTGGAAGAGCTTGGTATAAGCATTGAAAAGGGATTCATTGGCCTGTCGACGCCGAAAAAGATGCCTCATCTGGTTAATCTCAGCGATGATCCTCTGTTGGCGGAGTGCTTGGTTTATAATATCAAGCCTGGATGTACGACAGTTGGGAATGCGGACACCGCGACAAATTGTGAGATCCGTCTAAACGGGTCAAAGATTCTACACAATCACTGCACGTTTGAGAATGTAGATAATGTTGTGACAGTCGTTCCGACGGAAGGCGCCGCGGTGATGGTCAATGGGCTGCGGATTGATAAACCAAAGCGACTGCGAAGTGGATTTCGGATAATCCTGGGCGACTTTCATATATTCAGGTTCAATCATCCCCAGGAAGCCCGTGCGGAGCGAGTCGAGCAGAGTTTACTCCGTCATTCGGTCACTGCTAGCCAGCTCTCCTCGCCTGTTGTTCCACGAAGCCATGATAGGTCGATGAGCAAGAGTGGCTCAGAGGTTGACGGCGATTCAATTGGGGCGGAATCACCCGTGCCATCACGAGGAGGGCGGGATTCAGACTGGTTTCTTGCAAGACGAGAGGCTGCGAGCGCTATACTTGGAGGTGACCAGAAGATTTCCCATCTTACGGATGATGAGCTGGATGCTCTTTTTGATGACGTCCAGAAAGCTCGTGCAGTGAGGAAAGGTAGAACGGAGAATAGGTTCTTGGACAACGAGGAGGATTCGGATTCCGTTAGCTCCTATCCGGTGCGGGATAAATATATGTCTAATGGGACGATTGATAATTTCTCGCTAGATACGGCCATAACTATGCCTGGCACTCCTCACCAGACCGAGGATGAGGACAAGGAGTCGAGAGAGCCGGTGCTGCAGATGGTGCGGGATGATATGCAACGCCAGTTGGATAAGCAAAGGGAGGAGTATCAGGAGAAGCTGAGAGCATCGGAAGCGTCACAACAGGACATGGACGAATTACGAGCCGAAAAGGCTCGAATGGAAGAGGCACTTCTTGCGGCAAAAGAAGAGTTTCAGCACCAGTTGCAAAAGCAAAAGGAAGCTTTTGAGTCGCACATCAAGGACCTTGGCCATGCTCCCCCTAAGCCTTATGAGGATGGCCTGCCAGTCTTACAGCCGGGTGAAATAGACACGGCAAAACGGGTCTTCCGGCACTGGAGGCGACGGAATTATGTTCGCATGGCTGAATCTGTGCTTCAGCATGCATCTTTACTCAAAGAGGCCCAGGTAATGAGTCATATAATGGAAAAGAATGTCTCATTCCAATTTGCTGTCATTGACGTTGGTCAGAACATGGAGTCGTCGTATGACCTTGTGCTCAACGGCATATCAGGCGATGACGATGTGGCGCTCGACGATGCGAAGAAGCCATGCATTGGCGTTCGAGTGATTGATTTCAAGAACAGCATCATTTATCTATGGTCCCTGGATAAGCTACAGCGCAGGGTCCAAACGATGAGGCAGATGCATCAATATATCGATCGGCCCGATTATATTCAGCATTTTCGGTTGGAAAATCCGTTCTCGGAGAGGTGTCCGCCTAGGTATTCCCTAGTCGGAGACGCCGATATCCCTCTGGCAGCCGTATTTGAGTCTCGCGTTCAAGACTTTTCAGTCGAAGTGGTCTCACCGTACACTCAAAATGTGATTGGACTTATAAGGTTATCGTTAGAGCCTTCTGCTGCACAAGCACCTTCGTCGACGCTCAAGTTCAACGTTGTCATGCATGATATGGTTGGGCTTCGCCGAGCGAGAGGGCACCGATGTACATGCACAACTCTTTGTTCCTGGAGTATCTGAAGACGGAGGTGCAACGACCACTCAGATGATTAGTGGATTCGATGAAAACCCTGTCCGGTTTGAAAAGTGTTCACAGCATGAGTCTCCCATTGTCGAGTCCTAGGGAGTCTACGCTTAAAGTCAGCATTTTCGCGTACGTATCAACTATGCATCTAGACAAGTTACTGAGCTGGGATGAGATGAGGGATGCGCCTGAAGGTCCCCCACAGAAAAGAAAGGCCCCCAGGATACCTGAGTCGGAATTCTATTCGGAAGAGAGACATGATGTCTTTGCGAGGATTCAAATCCTCGAATTAGCGGAATCGGGGCAATATCTGCCTGTTGACGTGTTACAAACTAATAATCTGGATCCTGGGACCTACCAGCTCCATCAAGGCCTTCAGCGGCGCATTGTCGTTGATCTTACATATAATTCGACGGAAAGTCTACCCTGGGACGACATTACTGCTCTGCGAGTTGCTGCTGTACATCTCTTGGACCCATGGGGCAAAATTCCTGATATGGAAACGCAAACTTCAGATATTCAGCTCAAATTGGTCCAGGAGCCGATGTTAAGAGACAACGCCGATGGGACGTCCAACGTGACCCTTATTGGGCAATGGGATTCCAGTCTCCACGGATCGCTCCTTTTAGATCGCACGACGGCAGATAAATATCGAGTTCAGATAACAGTACGCTGGAACCTGGTATCTTCTCGTCTTCAGGATCCTATTGTATTTGAACTTGACCAACGACTGCAAATATTAAGCAGGACATATGTCCGCCAGCAGTCAATGTTTAAGCAATTCTGGAGCTCATCTCGCGTCATCCATTCCACGGTGGGAATGTTCTCGCTTGCTGTCAGACCAGTCTCCGCAAAGCGAGCAGCAGACCTTTGGCGTATGAACACACAAAATGACTATGTGAAAGGCGAAGAGTTACTCAGTACCTGGTCACCCCGCAAAGTATCCCTAGTTCGAGATTATATCTATGCTCGAAAACGGCGGCGCCGTGTCGCAGAAATCGACGCTGCTCGCGGGTCGTTGAGCACGGGTAGCTTAACGCCTTTGACGAATGGTTGGTCCACTCCATCAAGAGGCGCGGACAAATCTCAAAGGCAAGAAAAACTGCTTAGAAAGTATCTTGACCTATGGTCTACCAAAAAGGACCTAGCAGAGACTATTCTTGTCAAGGATAATACGGAGCCGCCCACTGAAGGAGCATACGCCCGCAATACGAGCAATAATACACCAGTTAAGCAACCGACGAATCCCTCGAGCAACACCAGTCTCTCAGGCGACGCTGAAAGTACAATTTCCAGTCACCTATCATCCGTTGTTTCATCAAAGCCTCGCTTCCTAGCCACAATTCAACACATACCAAAAAATCCCTCCTCTTCTAAATCCGGCTACCTTTACACTCCAGACGACACCAACACTCACTGGATCCGCCGCTTCGTTGAACTCCGGGTTCCTTACCTCCACATCCACTCTGTCCCTGATGGGGACGAAATCAATGCGATCAACCTGCGCAATTCGCATATTGACCATGAACCCGATTTTGCTCGTTTACTGGGCTCTTCCGCCAGGAACAACAATGATGATCAGCGGAGTCGAGAGCCCATGCGTGGAAGACCGAATGTCTTTGCTGTATATGGCACGCAAAATACGTACCTGTTCGCAGCGAGGACAGAGGCGCAGAAAATTGAGTGGATTTTAAAGATTGATCAGGGTTATTTCAGCGGCGCTCGCACGAGTCCAGGGGAGGCTTAGGTATTCAGCGGCCTGTTGGTATAGTAATATTTCCTTAATTCGTTTGTGTTTTCTTTCTTGGGATATTTCATATTATGGTTGGTCATTGGGAGGGGATATGTGGGTTATCATCTGTGGGATATAAAGGGACCATTCTGAAGGAAAAGATTTCGAGCTTCTCTGCGTTCTATTGCCATTTCTTATATTTACCTTATCATGTTCCTGCTGGTCCTTGGGGACGATTTGATTTTATTTTCACTTGTTGCATATTCCAGATATATATATACCCCCTGTTTGTCCTTCTTTTTCACTAATATCATTCCACTGGTTTGGATATGATTTCTCGCGAGGAATTCCGAATGGCTAATATTGTGATATATCTTCTATTGAAATCGGCCCTTAGTAACTTTGCCTCAAGAGCTTATATTCTTGGGATAATGTATTGAATTCGCGTGTCAAAAATGATACCCCTTTCTTTAGTTGTGTTGAAGCTCACTTGTTCTGGAGTGTCTGTGACGCGTAGAGATAATTTACTGTCATTCTAATAATACTTTGCAATCAGTTCTTGACTACACGCCACGGAATGACCAGATCAAGAAAGCACATGTGAGGACAAGACTTGTCTTTGGCATGCCAGTCACCAGCTCTGAAGCATTGCCATACCACTATCCTCCCTATTCAATTCAGCCAAAACCTCACGCAATGAGACTGCCTAGGTTTTCGTTCCGTCACCTTGTCCTCGCTAGCTGCACGTCGTTGCTTGTTTTCGTCAGCTTCGTCATCTTGCAGGCAGATCGACCTCGAGAGCGGCTCTCTACCTCATGGCACTCCCCCATAGCTACAGGCAAACTTGTACCCGAAATCAATTCAACAGTTTGGAGATTTGTGACGTCGGAACACGGTGACGATTATGGACTCGGTCGGGTTCAGTGTCGAATTGCGTTTCCAAAGCTGTTTGCGGAGATCGAGAAATCAGTGTCCGCCCGTCGAGGGAAGAAGATTGAATATGAGGAGCTGGCTTCAAGGACTTTGGAAGATGGGATGGTGAGAGCAATAATTTACAACGGAGAGGTAGGCCCTGGGATCTCGTTATTTTCAACTGGATATAATTAACAGCTTTCTTGTCTATTCAACAATCAGCTACGTATTGTCAATTTCGAGGGACATGAATTTACGTTCACTCGCGCCAAAGCGACATTGAGCTCGCTCAATCGTGCCCTCACTGCTATACCGGACCGCAGAAGCTTGCCCAATATTGAATTCATCTTTTCGGCCGACGATTTCACCCATGGCCCGGGCCCTATATGGACATATTCCAAGCGAGATGAGGACAGTTGGGCGTGGTTAATGCCTGATTTCGGATATTGGTCTTGGCCAGAAGCCAACATAGGGCCATACCGTCAGATCCGAAGGCGCATTGCTGCCATTGACGATGGAGACTCTGTTGGCGGACGGGTAAGACCAGGGCTCAAGTTCCAAAATAAACACCAAAAGCTCTTTTGGCGCGGCAATATTGCTACGGCACCGGTACTTCGAAATAAGTTCCTCCAAGTCACACACGACAAGGCCTGGGCGTCAGTTTTGCCAATGGACTGGAGCAATAGCACGGATATAGAAGCGAAGTATGTGCCCATCGAGGAGCACTGTAGATATAAGTTCCTGGGCCACGTCGAAAGGACGGAGCTACTCCGGCCGTGGTAAATACTTACAGAACTGTCGATCAGTCTTCATCACCCACAAGCTCGAGTGGCGTGAGGTGCATCACGCAGCACTCGTGTCGTCAGGACCAGAGGCCAACTATGTCGAAGTACAACGGGATTTCTCTGATTTGGAGGGAAAGATTCGGCACCTCTTAACGCATCCGAAAATTGCGGAACGGATTGCACAAAATAGCGTCGAGGTGTTCAGAGATCGGTATTAAACGCCTGCGGCGGAAGCATGTTACTGGCGCGAGTTGGTATTGGCATATGGGGCAATGTCCGATTTTCAGCCAGTTTTGGATTTTATCGATCTGGGTGGAAAGAAAATAAGGCGAGGCACGCCATTTGAATCCTGGATTCTAGATGGCGAATTGAAGTAGTGGGCAGTTGAACTGAATGTATATTAGTGAAATTTCTGAATAAATTAGGTATTATTGTTCCAATATCACGCATCAAAGAACACTCATCCGCCTTTGGGACTGTAAAATAGCTATCTGTCTGGCCAGCACACAGATGAAAGTATGTGATAGCGGCGAGGGCGCCAATGCAAGATCATTCACAAAAATCAACGAACACCAGGAGAGGCAGTGAAAACGGAAACTAGATGTTCATGTCAAAATTCGACATGGTCGAACACGGCTATCGGGTATCAAAAGCATGAAAAAAATAAAAGGCAGTAATTCAGTCCAAGGCCTATCGACCTTTATTAGCGCTTGAAGTAGTATGTGACTTTCCATTTTCGAAAGCTCCCTTTGCCCATTCTTTCAGGGCCTTGATTTTATCCATTACGGACTTCCACCACGGAGTATGGTTTTTATCTCCATCTTCGCCCTCATCGCTTTGGTGTCCTTGGTTGTCGCTGATACTGTGTGAGGCGCGGGGCGTAGGTGACGATAAGGTCGTATAAATTGGAGCAGGACGAGTCCACACATCAGTCGCAGTGCTCGTAATTGTGTGAGGGTTATTGCTGATGCTTGCACTTGACGAGGGAACGGGCGGGTCATTGGGAACATCAAGTATGGGCGCATCGTTGTCGGAGTGCAATCCGGCTGGATGTAAAGGGAGGCGCAGAGTGCCATTGTTCGGACTGGGTTTGATTTTTAAAGTATCGCAGATGATGTTGTAGACTTCGATATTTTCTGCCAGATTGCATGTCAGCCGCTATTATCCCGCTAAACTAACTGACGGCATGTAAGGAAAAGGAGGGCTGGGACTTACGAAAAGGATCAATCCGACTGTTAGGTTTATGAGGGAAACTCGGTCCACGAGCCACAAATATCGAACGCATAAGCGGATGCTCATGATCATATCCATGTATGCCACGCGGGTGATACGTGACATTCTTCTTTTTAGCCTCAATAATGTTGAGATCTGCCTTTTTAACAACTGCCCAGCCCGTTTTTGGGATTATCCATATGGGTGCAATTCGGTCGTTGTTAGAAAAATGGTATCTTTCAGGCATGTTTTCGCGAGTATGAACTTCGATAGAATCTTTGTATTGTTCTGAATTCTTTCTGAGATCGTGCATAATCTTAGGTATGTCCGTGTCGTTCTTAGGTCGCAGACCCTGAAGAGGCCATCCGTCAATGCGCTCGATGAGAGAAAGATCAACCAAATCGTCTAACTGAACAAGGCGATCTGTCGAGGTCGTTGCCATCCCATGGTCAGATACAACGACGATGTTCACAATGTGTGTCAAATTTCGGGTATGCAGACCGTCGAATAGGGCCTTCAGCATACGATCTGCATCAGCAATTGTTGCCCTAATTTCCGTACTATTGGGGCCAAATTTATGCCCATCGGCGTCCACATTTGGAACATAACTAGCGATAAGCTGGGGTCTTTTCTGGTCCGCCGCTGATTGCTGCCGGCGCTCATCTCCCGGCAAATCTAGCCAATGCAAAATTCGATCAACCTTGACAGACAGTTCCTCGCTGCCGTTGAATTTATCGACGTAGGTCGGCTCCAAAGGCCCAATATGTGCTTCAGACCCGGGCCACATATGTATCGCCGCCCTCACACCTTGCTTTTCTGCTGTTACCCAGATAGGTTCCGCATTCCACCATTTTGCGTGCATACTTCGTTTTGGGTCGGTGTAGTAGAAATCTTCCTGAAGGGTTGGATCCCAGAATGTGTTTCCAACCACCCCATGGCTCTCGGGATACAGGCCCGTTACTAGAGTGAAGTGATTTGGAAATGTGACGCTGGGGAAACTTGGGAGCATAAATCTTGGGGAAATGCCCTCTGTGATAAACTGATTGAGGGTGGGCGTGAGGCCTCGAGCGATAAAATCGGCACGAAAGCCGTCGAGTGAGATGAGGATGGTTGTCGGACGAAATAGCGCAGTTCCATTTGAAAGGAGGGTAGATTTAATTTGCTGTCTCGCGCGGAATTGAGACGAAGCCTTGTACGCGCCGAGGAGCAGGATAAGGAAGAGAACGAGAACAGCGGTTAAGGGGAGACTAAACCTACGGCAAAACCCCTTTGACTAGAGATAAAAGCGTTTTGCATTAGCATTATTCTATCAATCACAGTATAGCGACGGTCCCTACCCGTTTCAGCAGCCCATCTCCTAACGCTAAGGAATCCAACGATGACGAGCTCGAGCTAGAAGACAGCAAGCTTAATCTGTCATCTTCCTCTTTGCCAAACGCATCACCCTCCTCCATCTCGTACATCAGTTCTCCCTCCTCATCTCCACCCCGATTCTGACGCGACTGCGACTGCCCCTGTTTCCTCTTTCTCCGTTTCCTCTTTTCTCTCCGGCCTATCCGTACACTGCTGCCTGTATCATGTGCCACACCAAAAATCTTCGTCAACCCGCTGCCTTGGTGAGTTCGTCTTGTCAATAACCGCTCCAGCTCCTCCTCTTCTTCCAGGACTGTCCGATCATGCTCTGCAAGCTCTAGCGTACTTCGGGATGCCTGCAAAAGCTGGTCATCTTCCGAATCAGAGTCCTGGATGGAAAGAGACCGCAGAGACACAACATCATCATCGTACCCGCCCGGTGAGAGTAACGAAGGGCCTGGGGGAACCCGGTTGTGAAGGCATATCGGAGCAGTATGGCGAAGTGGTATTGGCGCCAGATCGCGTCTTATATTCCCAAGCGACTGAGCACAACTAAGTTACTGCAGCCATAACAAAAGTGTCCGCACTAACCAGAGCTTGGTGAAGACCTCACGTCTTTGCTCCATCGCAACTTGATGTTCAGGGTCAACGGTTGAGCTCCGAGCAAACAGATCAAACAGATCAAACAGACCAAACAAACCAAACAAATGCAAGCACCACCTGATATAAAATCAACCATCATGGAAGCCATATCTACACATTTCTCGTATGACTTGCTCGAGCTCGGCTCTCTCTTTGGCCATGTGCCTTTGATGCTCAAGTGCTTCTCGTACACTCATCAGCCATTTTGGCTGCCCATCAACAAGAATCCTCAACCATCCCAACATATCGTGTAAAACAGAAGACTCGGTCGCGCCACCTATATTAGGCGTCATATACCTGACGATTTCCCCCGCTACAGTTTTTAGATCCGTGCTCGTTTGAGGGGGTCGTACTACCATAGGGATGGTAAACAGGTCAGAGAATTGCCCAAGAATCGGCGGTTGATCGGTGACTATGTTGATCTCCACCCTGTCTATCTTCAACGGCGCTGGATTTTTCCTTGAGAACCGTGGTCCATACTTCAACAGCGATAGTATGAGCTCATAGACGTTGAGCACCGCCACTGGGTACTGCATCCATCGAATTCTGGGGCGGCTGCTGGCGAAGCCTCGCATGCTCATGGTTATGGTACAGACGTTGACACGTGTGGTGGGGACGGGAAGATGTGTCCATGCGAAAACAAAATCCCCCCCGTTGTCCAGAATCAAGCTTGCATCGTAGCGGAGGGTTTTGAGCGTATTTCGGCAAAAGATCACATACTGGGAGAACTCCCGGTTTATTTGCCTATTTGCGCGAAGAAGACCAGCACAGCCCATCGCCGGTGAAAATGGAGTCGTTTGGGCGGAAATCATAACGTTGCGACGGCCTATCTCTTGTTGGCAATGGAGGAGGACGAGGTGATAGATTTGATCTCGGATTTCAAGCGGAATTCTCAAGAAGCCTGGCAGCGGCGCTTTCGGGGGCTTTTTTTCGCTGGGAGTCGCCATGGCCTTAAACTGGAACATGATTCTGTTTTCGCTGCCGAAATTCCAACCACTGTGACACCAATGTAGTAAGATGCCTGCAAGGGAGCTGAAATCCTGGAGATGAAAAAAGTAAACAACAAATAGATGTGGCTCAAGGTTGGGTGAATATGAATTCTCGTTGGGGTATCAAAACTTTCTATTAATTATAGGAACCGGACTCCAGCTGCTCTGACGGAACTTGCCCTCTAATACACAAGAAAAGTGGAAAAAAGGGTAATTGAACTTGCGAAAAAGAAGACAGTAGTAGAAAGAAAGCAAAAACAGCCTACTATTATACAACAATACAACGTAATCATTGACTCATTCACTCACGGACTGCATAGAAATTTCTCCATTCACATTTGCAGCCTCCAGTTCCCCCATCAACTGGCATCCAATCTTCATCTCGCTTCTTGTGCCCATCGGAGCCAGTCAAGTTGAATATCCCCCCTGCAGGGTTTATCAGGACGCCCCCGAAACCTCGAAATTCCAACTGTAGCTTTCTCTCGTTTAGTTCAATCTGCGATCTTTCATTCATTCCGTAGCAATATACCATCTTCTTCTTTGCATCGCCACCATGGCGGTCGATCTTGATAGTAATCGGATACGGAAATGTGCCTGGACGGGAGAAGTCCGTTGCATAAGGAAAAGCTGAATTCACAGGTGGCGTCGAAGAGTGGTTGAACAAGACAGATGGTTTTACTAGCTGCAGACGAGCCTGTTGCGGTCTCGTCCAAATTTGTACGTTGAACCGCGTTTCCGCCCAGGTACACCGGACACGGGCTGCTGATTTGGTCGACCCGCCGTTTTTATCGTCGGGTACATCGGTCGTATCCGACTCATTCAAGGGTGCCGCGGATTTGAGAAAAATCGAACGATTATAGTAGGTATAAAAACTATAACGTTCGGTTGGCATACCACGATCGTATAATCGAAGTGGTTGATCTTTCGGGACGGGTAGGAGATTTGCAGCCGCAGCTGTGCCATCTGGTGCAATGGTTGGCGATGGAATGATATCAGTGAGATTTGGGAAGGGGTCGGGGAAACTGTCTCTTTTACTCAGGCTATCAAGATCGCCAGTGGATAGAAAAGTGACGTAAAAGGGCGTCTCCTCTCCAACGAAAGGTTGAGTAAATCGATCCGTGGTATTCCCAAGAAATTCTATGTCTTTCAGGTTTGGAGGAGCGGGTATTGGCGTAAAGTCATCACTTCGTGCATATAGCCTGCTGCGTCCTAAAATTCGACGTACCAAACGCTCTCCCAATGTAGATTTAAGCTGACGCTTTGTCTTAGTTGTCACCGTTGTGCTTCGGGGATAAGTTCCATTTTTGAACCTGATTTCGATTCTAAATTTGGGTGTCTCAGCATCGTAGGGCTTGTTCATTTCCTGGTCTTCCTTTGGCAGTGCACAACTCCACATGGTAGACGGATGCACACAGCCCGAGTTCATCTCAATTGCATCCGGCCCACCCACAGTCGAGATACCGGTTGGCATCGCAGGATACCCGGTCAAATTCAGCCATCGGGGTTCGATATCTGGAGTATTGCTTTTCCTTCTAGTCAACGTCACCGCTAGGACGACGCTTGTAGTAATCAGCAGCAGCAAGATCAATGCAATAACAAAATACCATCGTCGCCGTTTTCTCCCCTCGCGGCCATTTCGGCCGAAACAGTCCCGGTCGCTAAAGCATCCTCTGCCACGCCATAAACCGCCAACCTTCCTTCCAATTGCGTCTTCTTTCTCCCGTCTTCTACGTTTGGATTCAACGTTGTTCTGTAACGTCGCTGGTCCGCGAATCGAAGATAAAGTGACAGGAACTGCACGAGGGCGGGGAGGTAGATAATCAGAATTGGTATTGCCAGGGGTGTAAACTGCTAAAGGTGGCTGGACGTTTGCTACGCCGGACATTTGTATTCCACCACGTAAGGCCATAGCCCGGTTACCCTCTGGAGATATTGGTCCGGGCGAATGAGGCTGCTGGCCAGGCGGGAAGATTGCTCGATAACGAGGGGTTGATTTGATGGGTGTTGGGGAAGAATACGGGGGTGGTATGGAAGGCGCTCGCTCCTGGGTACCAGCCGTTGAATGCGAGAGCTTTTTTATACTCGTAGAATATGACGGGTCATCATAATCGTCTTTTGAAATGCTTTGAGCTCGGGGTGGCAACGGTGTGTGTACCAGAGCGGGCATTGCACCAGCTGCTCTAAATAATGGCGTCGCGGTTGCTTGACGAATATTGGGGGATATTTCTGTCTCGTCGTCTTCAATAGTAGTTGAACAAGATCCTGAGCGTGGTCTTGCTTCCTCATTCCGTAAACTTTCGACAAACCTCCGAAAGAATGGGTTGTCTAGCTGTTGGCCTTGTGAAGACATAAACTGTCCCGGGGTAATCCGTAGATGTTCCCCGACTTTCGGACGCTGTCTGAGCGAGAAATCTATCAATATTGGTGCGGGTTAAACATGTAGAGCAAGGCTGGCTGCTCAGAAGGTCATGTTGACAAGGCATATTGTGAAATGTAGCAGCGTGGTTGGTTGAGGTTGACATAACCAAAGGGATAGACTGTGTGGAAGAAGCAGACATGGGGGAAGCCTTGTTATTTGGGATTTTTGGTGAATGGAGGGATCTGGGCACCCGGCTCCGGTCTTCACGCTCTTTGTCCCAGTCGTCCATGTCGGGCCATGCTGTAATGTCGCTGAGAATCCTTTTCCCAGTTCCACTCTCTGGTGTGTCTGGAGAGAACGCGGATCGCACAGGGGTCCATTGCTTTTCGTTTATGGTGCTTCTAGAGTAGGGTTCCTTGGGTTCCGCCGACAGAGTTGGTACAGGAGGAGGGCTGCTAGCATCGCTAGCAGGACCACGCCAGCTGCTTAGCGTGTTTGATCTCGTCAACGAAGGAGTCCAGAGAACGTTCCACCATCCTTGTGACCGACGTCGTGTAGAGACCGTTTCGAGGCTTAATCGTTTCGAACGACTAAGTTTACTCTCGTTGGAAAATGACCGCTGACGCAAGGAAAACCCCGATGGAGAAAGTTCCTCATCAATGACTGTTCCGGCCGAGTACGAACGACGTTTTCGGCTTCTCTCTGAAAGGCCATCCACCAACGGCTCTCCATCTTTTTCATTGTGCCATACTGAATTCGGCGGTGGGATGGCTGGTACCGGTGGAATAGACTCTATTCTTCCAGACCTTACGAAAGGCGTAGGCTGTGAGTAAACACTCGATGCCGGGCGTGGTGGTGTCGAGTTTGAGCTGTCCCAGGTGGTATCCCAAGCCCGTTCTTCCACTGCAGGTGTTATCACTATTGATGGTGTGGCAGGGGTTTGTTGGTTTGTTGGGACAGTGAGGTCCTCAGGCGAAGATTGGTTTACAGAAACTGCAGGAACGCTGATACCAATCAATATGGGCCGATCGGACGGTGATAGTTCTTGAACCTTAGCGGGCTTTTTAATCGCTTTTCTGGACAATTTTCTCATCAGGGACTCCTTTTCCGCACGTTTTCGCTTTGGTGGGTTATTGCTAAGATCTGCAGATTGATCTTTCAACTCTTCATAGCCCCGGAGTTTAGATTTCCAAGTGGGTTGCCACCCACTGGCCTGGCGTTCAGATGGCCGCTGGGTTTGAGAAAGAGATTTGAGGTCGTTCAAGTCCAAAAAGGCCTTGGAGGGCGGTTGTCTGGATGCAGCGACATCGTCTTTTGCAGTCTGGGAAAATCCATTTCTACTGAAATCAGTCACAACATTTAGCCCCGGTCGCATTTTTTTTGGTGGAGTCGATTCAAAACTACGTGGCAAGCCATGCTGTTCGAAATGCGCAGCCGAGTTCTGGTTATTACTGTGTAAGCCTTGGTGTCCATCCCCAAAATCGTTTGCCTCTGCGACCAGATAGCCCTCTGGGAATCGAAACGGGTTATTGCTGCGGCCTGCTGCACGCTCCGAAGAGTCGGATTCTGAAAACGGTGTCATGACTTCTTCTACTATCGGAGAAGATAATGGGAATGTGGGAACAGTTGGGATCTGGAGGTGAATGGGCGTGTGTACATCCTGTCCAACTCGGTGCTGTGTTGTTGGGGATGAAGTTGGGTCCATTACAGTCGAGATATGTTATAATCTGGCAATGTTTTCAAGTGATGTTAGCATCTGGACGTGTAAAAGCTCTACTCCAAGGGTCTGCTGGGAAAGTTGAACATTGGACCTACTATTGACCTCATCTCTAGCCTTATAACCGTGACGATATATGGAGCAACTTTGAATGACGCATGAGGAGAATAACATTGATCAATGTTGAGATAAAACACTGAAAAGAATGGGTGGAGGTAATTGATTGAAATATTGAAGGTGTCGCCAAAATACAATTGAGAGTCAACAATGGGAATCTGAATAAGGGCGTAATGTACACACCGTCACCAACTTGTGACTAAAAGGTATCTCCCACTCAACAGATATTAAGGTAATGACTGTGTAGGCTATCCATTGAGCAGGATGCAGAACAGAGTCCTACACGCGTCTTAGGGGGAAGTACCAGCAGGTACTTTTCCCAACAGATGAGAAATGGAGATCTGTCAGAGACAGGTTCAAGTTCAAAAACCTCGAGCCAAAGAATAGCCCAAGAAGCCAGAATCCTCGACAGGCTCATACCCCTCCCAAGACTCGAAAAGGTAGGATCCAATAATAGCCAGGGGTCTCCCGAACGCTAGGCACCGTTCAGTCCATCCCCAAACCCAGGATTCTATTTCCATCGTCAAGATCGCCCATCTTGCCATCCAGACTCTGTGGGGTGATTGGGCAGGCAGAGCGGATTGAAACAGACGGAGCCCAGAGAGCAGCCGAGTGGGACGGGGGGGTTTGCAACGAGTGTTGGAATGCTGCATGCTGGACCTGGGCATGAGGGTTCATTGGCCCTCGAACCGCTGAGGACTTTGATGAGCCATGGGAGGATGTAACCAAGCAGAAGCGCCAGACGGGTTGAAGATGCTCAGGCTGGTCGTTGAACGGCAACAGCGGGGGGAAGGGGTGTCGTCGGCCACGGCCAATCATCGGCGCAGACGGGGTGGGCCGGCACTGATTGGGCGGTTAGAGCGGTCCAATCATCGTGCTGGAAGGGAGAAGGGGGCCAAGTTGGTCTTGGCATTGGCATCAGGGGAGGATTAGAAGCACCAAGAAAGAGAACAAGCAGAGCGGAATGGATGGAGTTTGATGGAATTAAGATTGAGCAATTGACAACTGGCAGATTGACACCCACCTGTCAAAGCAGCCCTGAAACTGAGCTTCAGAAATTGGTGCAAAAACATCGGCTTCAGGCCACAATCGATTGCCAGGGTTCGTGACCCTGGTCTGGGTGCCCATTTGGCACATGCGCATCACGTACATTTCGCAATCCGCTACTGCGGTGGGACTTGGGATCCCCGTCGCTTTTTGTGAAGGATCTCGACGCCATGCATGCTCTGAAGAATTGGCAACCCGACGCTTCCTTGCAATGGAACTGCGTTGTTGATGGTGAAATGGTTGCCAGATACCATATCTGATATTTATGGCTTGAAATCTCAAGGATATAGAGGCCGAAATACCAGCTTGATGATATCTCGTGTAATCGCTATCCGCCCAAAAATCGGTCTTTAGCCTCTTAGACCGTTCGAAATGAAGAAGCTGCTGATACATTCAGCGGCTCTCCCTAGGCACCAGCATAGAGTCCCTCAAGGCATTCCATTCCTATAACTTGGCCCACGATATATTAAACTTGCAGGGTTTGGCGTTGCATCTCAACTCCTTCACTCCTCTGACATGTCCTCGCCAGAAGCACTGGGTATGGGTATGGGTATGGTATAAATATTCTGCCCCCCCTCATGCAGCTTTCCCACTGGCAATCTATGCATTCAGGATCTATATTCGCCAGCTGGGTGATCAGACAAGACCTCTCTTGGGAATGAAAAGTGAGCAAAAGAACGTGTTCAGCTAAAGCTAGATGGACAACACCCCACCTTTCCTCCTTCCGCACGTTTCTCGTGTTCCTCCGCTCATAATGCGCCTCGGAATCTTGTAATGAATACTTTGTATCTCAGGAAATACACGGCACTCTGCCAGTATGTTGTTTTCTAATGACCTTCGCCGTGGATGCATGATCGGTGCCGCATACGGACGTCCATACGGTCTGTATTGTAAATACGCAAGTTTTAAAGACGTTTCGACATCCGTACATACCATGTTGTGGTACGTGACACCGTGAGAATCAGCCACACTGTATATCAAACGAGCGGTTATGCGCATTTCCGGCTACCATTCCGACAATGTGACATGTCGAACGTGTTTAGCAGGTGCTCGTGCATCATTGTCGGCAGCATCAAAGAACCACAAAATGTGGGTTTGTGGGAAGCCAAGGCGGAAATCCTCCATTTAGAACTCCGGATTTGTGTGCACGGCGGATCGCCAGAGATTGTGGATAAAGTGAATATGGCTTCTACTCTCAATAGGGCTTAGGACTCAGGAGAGCCTTCCGTTTGCTGCCCTCTTTGAGTTAACAGTCTGATGTTTGCTTTTCGCTCGTGCAAAGCCGACTGCGTTCAGGTATCCTGAGCGATAGATGCGCAAATATCAAAGAAATCACCTTGTTCACTTGAAGTACGGAGTATTGACTGATGTCTTCAGTTAGTTACCTAGTTACCAAGCAGCGCCAACACTAACAAGCATTCAAAAACATCAATGGTGGCTGAAGCATCACCCGGTCGATCCGGTGATCATTGTGTGACGAGGCAGCAAGCGTGATCGCCAATTCTCCCGGTAATGGAAAGGTGCCAAAAGAAGCTGCCGGTGTCGAAGGCTGAAGCAATCAAAATAGAGCGCCTCAAGCGTCAGTGGCTGTGATTGTCAATCTGAGATGGAATTCTCCGGAGACCGAGCTGACGATCAACGTGGTCTTTTCCGGAAACAAGCCGGAATCCCAAGGCACTGTGGAACTGCAGTTCACGGAGCATTTCGAGAATCACTGCTTGCGCCCAGCCTTCTCGGCGGGCTCGGATTGGTTTGCTAACCCTCTCAGCGGGGAGATCTCCAATGCTTCGAATATCGCCACGGGACAACAATCCCACCTCTCCCGTAGATCAATCATTGCCCAAGAGTTATGGCCATGTGAACTAAGCCAGAGGACATGGAAAGAGGCGTTCTTTCTCCACAATCGTATGGATGCATTCGGTATGGTATCATGGTAATAACCATCTCGGACACTCGGGTTCCTCAGTCAGTTATTGTAAATAATTCGAGCGCAGTAGAGGGTCTGTATCTTGGCCTCTGCTTTTCTCTGCAGTGACACCAACGCCCTGACTTCAAACGCATTTCGTTTGAAGCATCAAGCCAGTCAAGGACATTGGCAACTCCCTCGGGTGGCACAACGGAGACGAATATAGCCCCTGCGTTTATACCACACGAAGGCAACGTCGAGTAGCCAAATCAGGGCGGGAAAGGAGATAACCGGCACATCTTGCACGGAGGTTTCTTGGATCACAAAGGCAGAGCCATAAAAGATGCAATAGTTATGGTTGTTTGCTATAGGAAAGCAAAGCACACCATCGACCAGTGTCGCTAGAGCCTTTTCAGTCGATGTCAGTGGCTACGGAGTAGTTACATAGTTATGTACTCCGCAGTAAACGGCCAGAACGATGGGCGTTCACATTTGAGGATGCTCATGTTGAAGGAAAGCTGCCCGGTGTGTCCGATAACACGACTGTTTCCATCTGGTTCTTCAATAAATCGCTTCACCCGGCGTGTTCTGAGGCGAGAGGCTCGGTGGTCACGGCAAGCGCCAAGGCCGGCTCGCTCAATGCAAAATTTCAGCATCAAAGCTCCAAAGCCGGTCCCTCGAGGCCGCCAACGCTGAGCACCACATCGTTCAATTGCAACAATTCAACCATGAAGCGAAAGGCTAGTCCAGACAGCACGAATGACGAAGCGAAGAAAAGAGCATTGTCGGCCGAAGAGGCCACAGCTCGATTCGGAGAAGGGCTGTTTGAGACGGCGACCCTCGCCAAATACAAGAATGCCTACGCTGCGTCGGAGCCGTGAGTGCAAGTTTTTCTAGAACCTCCACAATCTGTTGGCTCCGATTAGCATGCTCTAACCAGCAGGCTATTGCTGCAGATACAAACATGGCGTGATTTCTCCGCTCATTGCCCCAGATCTCCTCCGCTCCGTCCGCAATGAAATTCAAGAACATCTATCGTTCACCGAAAAGGAAACCGACATTTACAAGATTTTTCAATCGGGCGATTTGGCCAACTTGGACGGATTGGACGATGCTTCGCTTGCCCGGTTGCCGTTTCTTCTCAAGCTTCGCGATGCGTTATATTCCCGCCCATTTCGAGAGTATCTCTCAGAGGTCACTGGTGCCGGCAAGTTAAGCGGGCGCAAAACGGACATGGCAATCAATGTGTATACTGGTGGCTGCCATTTGCTCTGCCATGATGATGTGATTGGAACCCGGCGTGTAAGCTATATTCTCTACTTAACGGATCCGGATGCGCCTTGGAAACCGAGTTACGGCGGAGCGTTACGACTGTACCCGACCACGATCAAGACGGACAAGAATGGAAACGAGGTGAAAATCCCCAGTCCGGATTTTACGTTGTCAATCCCTCCTGCATTTAATCAACTTAGCTTCTTCACGGTCCAACCGGGGGAAAGTTTCCATGACGTCGAAGAGGTATACCACATCGACAGCGAGAGTACTGAGCAAGAAAAGAAAGCGCGAGTGCGTATGGCCATCAGCGGGTGGTATCACATTCCGCAGGAAGGCGAGGATGGCTTTGAGCCAGGTTTAGAGGAGAAACTCGCCGAACGAAGCAGCTTGCAACAATTGCAGGGGCAAGATGATGAATTTGACTGCCCACAACCGCAGGTCGGCCGATATGATGAGCCAATTGATACATCAGCCTCCAAGGGCAAGGGAAAACAGGCCGCCAACGACGATGAGGACGATGCAGAGTTCACAGAAGAAGACCTCAACTTCCTGCTCAAATACATCTCTCCATCCTACCTGACACCAGACGTCAGCGAGCAATTATCCGAAACCTTTGCCAACGAATCATCTCTCAGCCTTGAGCGTATCCTTTCCGATAAATTTGCCGCCCAAGTTCGTACATACATCGAAGAACAGGAGAAAAGCACTACCGCGCTTCCAACGACGTCAGACGATATTGAAAAACAAACACACTGGAAAGTTAGCCGACCGCCGCATAAACATCGATATCTATATCAGCAACCCAGATTAGATACCCAAGGGCAAGAGAAAACCCCCATCCAAGAACTTATTGAGAATCTACTTCCATCAAGAGCTTTCAAGAAGTGGCTGTCAACAGTCACCGGAATTGACGAACTGCTTACCTACGACTTCCTGGCTCGTCGATTCCGACGTGGCGAAGACTACACTCTCGCGAACGAATATAAAGGTGATTCTCCCAGGCTGGAACTGACCATTGGCATCACCCCGTCTTCCGGCTGGGAACAGCAGGATGACGAAGACGAAGAGGATGGCGGCGAAGAGCCGTCAGGCAATGGCCATTCCACGTCAAAGCCCAACGCAGAAGACGACGGCCCTTCAGTGGGAGGTTACGAGATCTACATGGCCGGTGACGATGACGAAGACGAGGGTGAAAATGGTGTTGAGGAGGCATCAAGCTTAACAGGCACAAAGTCCAAAGTAAACAGGTCCAAAGCGGACCCGGCAATCTACAAGTCCGCAGCTGACAGTGAAGACGATGGCATTCTGTTCAGTATGGCTGCTGGATGGAATCGGATGAGCATAGTCTTGCGCGACCAAGGAACATTGAGGTTTGTGAAATACGTCAGTCGCTCGGCGAGGGGTGATCGATGGGATGTCACGGGAGCAATTGAGGTCAAGTTTGGTGACGATGAGGATAGTGAGGAAGGAGACGAGTAGAACAGCCCAGCAGTAAAGTTTTCTCCGTGGCATCTATCTATGCACTGTACTTATATCTAAGCTACTATCAACTCCAGTATCAATAAACGTAACGCTTATGCCTGAGTCTAGATATGTGGTGGGATTTTTGGGGCAAAGTCAATTTGAGAGGATATAACGGCTTATTCCATACAAAACCAACCCTCACACCCAAAAGTTCCTGTATCTCGCCAAGTATGCACGGGCATACATACCCATCACGAGGTGTTGTCATGGTTTTAACCTGGAATTATTGGATCTTTCTTGAAGTCTTCTATTATTGGAGTGAACCATGCTTCCCATCCTGTAAAAGCAGTATTATATGGCATTCAACCCGACATGACAATAAAATGCCAGCAACAGTTATATTGGGCTGGAGAGATATTGTCTCATCTTGACAATGTGACGTTTGCAAATGCAGGACAAAATAATGATAAATAATACCCAAATTTTTGAATTTCCACAAACGCCCCCCCCATGAGTCAAAGCTTCATATTTTATCCACAGCAGCTTCGGAATGCAAGCTGTTTCAGCTGCTGTAACTACCCAGGCACTGCTTTGTAAGGGGTTTAATGATATCTATCAAGACTCTCTAGAGCAAAAGATGCTTCAAGAGGAGAGAGTATTCAATGGGTTATGAATTTTCAGACATGGATTGCTTATTGATTTCGGTTTCTTGAGAATTCGGCAGCGGGTAGGCTATACTGCTGCTTTGATATTGGATTTGTGTGTGAAATTTCTCCCAACTGACTCTCACTCCTCATCTAAGAAAAAGCATTCACCATCCACTGGGCAATTCAATGGTCGATGGTGTAGGCCGCAGTGCCATTTTTCGCCACAGGTATGTACCAAGTACTTATATTTTAACACTTGTACATGGAAAGCGTAACAAAGATTCATGCGCAGATTAGCAGGCTGGAGAGGAGCAGCCCGTGCGCCATTTCCACCGGACTGACTCCATGATAAGGACAGGGGCGTGAAGAACACAATGACCAAATCCAAAACCTGCTTGTCAGTATTACACAGAATCCATGGCATGCGAGTGGGCGTCTGTCCCTCTGGCTTTTCGAAATGTTGATGTGTGAAAGAAACTGGCAGTATCATTATCACAAACAAGAACAGCCACGAGACCAACACCAGAACGGCCAAAGAGGCCCCAACTCAGCGAAAGTAGCATGTCCATATCCTAATAGGTCCCGTTTCCTTGTATTTTGAAGGCCCTGAAAAAAAAAATCCAAGGGTTTCAGGAATTCTGCCAGCCAATGGTAAAATCTCCCTGAATTAATTCCCGATCATCCCTTTGCCCTGGTCGACTTGCGGGCAGCGTGCATAAGCGACATGTGGAGTTGATATTTGGGGTGAAGTGCCCTGCTGAAGGTCGTATCTGGTCTTGAAAACAAGGCCACTAAACTTGATGTGGACATCATCCCTACCCTTGTCCAGGCTAACTCGCCGGTTGCGGGCGAGGGTGACGACAGGTGTTGCTCGGAGTTCACATTGCAGAACGCATTATATCACGAAGATATAGGCTGGGGTGGACCAGATGGGGGATGCATACCCACGAGGTGCATCCGACAAATGCATATGGAACCATCCCGTTATTCGTGCGAGAAAGCGGGTCCCCGTTACGATCTCAACAGAGATTCAAGGGAGGGCATCGATTATCTGATCGGGCCCAGCTCCACCATTTTGATTGTCGTCGATCGGTGGTGCATGAACGTAGACGAAATGCTTCGAACACTTCAAGGCCGCCAAGTCGGTAACTAGTGAGTTAAACCCGTCACTTTGAGAAAGATAGAAGTGCTGACACAGGCCTTACCTTGAGATATTTTCCATGAAACTTTGCAAGCCACATGGTGCCGACCCGGTGGCGTGTTGCTCTCGCATGCATAGCTTTGATATATCGCAGGGTTGAGGATGCGATTGCCAGGCCGGAGTACCCGGCTCTAGCCTGGACGCGCTTTGGGGTCGTGCCTTGATTCGTTACGTAACCCTTAAGCTGTCGACGACTGGCAACCTATGCAGATGCAGATGCGATGCGGTTGTAAGGCTGATCAGATGGATGCTACTGACATGCAAACAACAGCCGAGAGCACTTTTTTTTTTTAAAAAACAGCACGGAGTCTGCGGCCACTCATCATCCGGTTTCTTCGCACATTCCTCCCGAATACGCCTGCGTTTCAGAAACAATGGATAGTGGCCCCAAGTACTGGTTTTGAAACATCCGAAAATGTCTCAATGGCATCAAAATGTTTGAATGGGCGCCAGACATCGAACCGATTGAAGCACTGAGCGCAGCCTTTTCTGAGCAGTGTCGGAGATATGACCGCGTTGGGACGCTGCGGTAACAACCTATAGAGAAGTGCCTCGTTCAACGACAATACGATTGTGTTGGTTTTAACCAAGTTTTTGAGGGATTGCTGACTCGCACGCGCCTGTCGTGCTTTCGAGATCACTGGTACCTTACAACTGGGCAAAGCAAATTAGAAATATCAAGCTTTTGGATACGGATTGGCATGGCTAAGTTGGTGTGTGAGGAGCATGGCTTTCCCACACTTCCGATAGTCGCACCAGGTCTCCTTTTTGCCATGGGCAGCGGGATGGGCTCTGGATCGGCCCTGGGTTGAACGAGATTATTTTGCGATCGTCGACGACACGACGAACAACAGATTGCACAAATGATTATCCGCATGTCTTGAGAGTTCCAGCGAAAGCAACTGCCGTTCAAGGTATACGGAATACGGACGTATCACAATTCTACTGAGTTCCGGATTTGTGTGACCAAACGGTCTGAAGAGGAAAATGGTCCAGCGAGCCCAGCAGCATTGTGTGGATCACCACTGACAGGTATCATAATTGCCCTCCCAGCACTCTGGTGCTACCTGATCCCGAACCGCTTTGTCGGGGGAGGGGAAGGAACCATGCAGAAACCCCATCTGGGTGCGATCGCTGCTCGCCTTCGCCGTTGGTCTTGTGTCGATTGCCTCGAAATATTGCTGCGATCAAGCGGCTGATAGCTAACAAAGCCCTTTTCCTAACGCACTGGCAAATGAAACCGAATGGTGTATCTGACGACTCCTGTCGAAACTTCTTCTGGATATCGTTTACTAATCCTATGAATTTGAAGAGACTAACGAGGCTGGAGAACAGACCATTGACGGCGGGATATCCAAAAGCGACGACCCAGTTAGCTTCCGCCCCGAGGGATCTGAGAGCCGTTTGAGTTCAATAATGAAAGTACGCCAAGAGATCCGAAGTCTTGGGAGGTGTCTGGAGTGACAGGATATATTGGTAAAGTCCCTGAGAGGAGCTCCTCGCTATCAGCGTTTCCATTATCGCATACGCACATGCACAGGTTCCTTTCCCAATCGCACAATGAGCGTGGGCGAGTCGTTCCCACGGGGCAAGGACCCTGCGTAGCGAGGTGACCGATCACAGATCGTTACGCAGACCAACGGCGCGAACCCAGGGCGAACGATGGAGGAATCGACATCTCATGGGCAGGCAATTGATGCAGGGCTGGCTGATGGGGGCAAAGGACATCTAGTGTGCCAGGGTGTAAAAACCAAACACGTAACATACAGGGTCCCCCGTACGGTACCGAGCGTATTGTTTCAAAGATACAGGCACACCCTCCTTAGGCAAGCACTCCCAGTCGCCGCGTGGTCAAAAATGGGGATTCGCGGGGCGCTAAGCTACATCTGGCGTAGTGCACTGGGTTAGTCGGTGGAATAAGGCTTCATTGATCCCAGAAAGCTTAAACCTTATTCCTGACTCAGTGAGCCTAACCGCTTTTGTTCCCGGTGGCGCTGGCTTTCCTGTTTGGGTTTTGGCTAGAAGCGAAGAACATTCTCCTCTCTCTCTTCAACGCTGGCGTTCTGAGACAAGGTGCCATGTTGCCCGCTCGACTGAAGAGTGGGACATTATTGTTCCAAAGCCGCCCAAGTTTGAGGGAAAAAGGAATCATGGGTGTGCAGGGCATGACGACGACTCGAGAATCATGAGAATCCACCATTGGGTATCAAAAACCCGTCAAGGTCTGCGAGAATTGATGGGGTGGGATAAAGCATGGGTTTCGCTGCATTGGGGCGATGCAGCCCGCTGGTGGTCCCCCCTCGGACCCTGTCTGGATGATACAGCCTGGGGGTGGTGGTGCCTTCTAGCCTTCACGTGTGCGATCATATTGGTGGCATCGGGGCGGGATCCAAGCTGCTTTCTTTTTCCCGTCGGATCCAAGCCTTGGCGTCCTACGCCCGAATCTGACTAGACCGAGCGCCATCTTTCTGATTACTATTCGGCTGGTTTGTTCGCCTCAGCCTTCAGGAGGCAGCTTTGCCGTGGTGGTGAAGAACAAATCTGCTAAAAACTGACACGTGTGACCTCGATGAGCTGAATGGGGCCGGTGCTCCACAAGACATGTGCGGACAGAAAAGCAGGTACAGAGCAGCTACAGGCAGCTCTCGATCACAATAATAAGATAACAACAATGAGAATTCTGATAAATGTGAGTTCAACACATGGTCTGTCGCCATGGCCATGCGCAGTCAGCATCGAGCTCTCTGCAGTCTCTGGTCTTTATCAATTGATCCGGCGGTACACTTGAGCTGCCCATACGGTAATACACGTGCCAAATACAATGGCTGTAAAACCAAGGGCACGTGAAAGCCATCTGATTTGTGGCTGCCGCCGTCCAGATTGAATTCGATAGTCGATGAGACCAATGCATTTTCATCACTGAGCACACACGTTTTCTCAAAGATTCCAAATTCTTCGAATTGTTTCATTGCGCAGCTTCACGCGGTCGTCAGGATTTGACAGCTGGTTCTTGCACTTCTTCAGCGACAGCCAGGTGGCCGATCAAGAAGGGGTCCCTGGCGTCGCAATAACTCAATCCAATTGCCCCATACTTCGTAATCCCCTACCATATCCATGCTCGCTGGGCTCCGTGGGAAGTATCTTACGATTTTAAATATTGAGTTCACTTCTACTGTCGCCGTCAGGGGATCTCTGCGCATGCTACTCCGTACTCCATATACATTCCTCATCGTCTAAAGAGAACGAGATATTCTCGAATTCCAATGCTTGATGAGAGTCTTCGTTTTCCCTGACGGTTACGAGGTAACTTACCAGTACCCAAACATTTCCACAAACCTTACAGGCTGTTTACCATACCGAGCTCGTTATTAATTACCAGTAACACCGTCAATCCAGCTGCTCCAGATCTCAGTTCGCTCTCTCTCTTTACTTTTCGCAGTGCTTTCTCCTCCATCGCCAAACTACCCTGGTCCTGCCGCCCGCTGAGTCGCACTGCTGTCTGCTGCTGTTGTTCTACGGCTGTCGCAAGCTAGCTTCTCTTCAGCTCTCTCCTGCAGAGGTAGATCCTTCTACTTGCTTAGCGACATCTCTGTTTTTCACACTGATCCCGTCTCCTGAATCGACCAGAAGACTCTCCACCTTTGACCTTGCACCTCACTACTATTCATCCAAAGTCGCTTGACTTGCCGCAGCCGCCCACCGCTTCGACGGCTCCTCAGGATGGCGATAATGGAGCTTTCGGGCCCTCCTCATCGCCCGTGGGAAGGCACACGTACCGCTCACCAGGCCCCGCAGCCTCAAAACGGCCAGGTCCTACCGTCGATCTCGACTTTGACTGCCAGTATGTCCTTGGGTTCTATCACCTCTGCAGAGAAGTCCCCAGCCCAGGCTACACTTGAAAGGGACTCGGGGAATTGGTCCATGTCCCAAAGTGCCCGTATGTGCCGCCAGATATTCCTACATATACTTTTGAAGTTTGCCATTCCGCTCAGAATTCGGTGGACAAACCGGGCTAACACTGTATGAATAGGTTCATCGACGTACTCGAGCACAACGAACGGTACCAACGGATATCACCATGGCTCTTTTATCCCTTCGTCGCAAGCACCACAGATCCCTACTGAGCCACCAGTTACTCCAGTTTCAAATGGCCCAGCGCAATCTCCCAGTTTCTCCTCACAACCACCTAATACAATGCTACCCTCGATTAATCAAACATTCGAGGGCTCACAGCGACCAGAATATCCGGAGTCCCGTCGCAGTAGCCTTGATAGCAGAATGAACCAAGGTCTGAGCTCCTTGGCTATTAACCAAGCCTCGCCATACCAAAGCGCCAATGTATCTCAGACCTCCATTGTATCTGGCCTGCAGAGAGAACGGGGGATTTCAGGCGACTATGGAAAGCCACCCACAACACACCGTGGACCTCGCTATGTAGGAAATCAACCCCTATCACCGCTGGGTCCCCGGGTCGGAGAGCATCGAAGCTTTCCAGCTGGACGAACAGCGCCCGCCATCAGCTCAAACCCCGAAGCAAAGATTTACAATGCTGAAACTCCTATTCCGGGTATGCCTTATGCTTTCCCGGATCCATTTGTCGCACGCCCAGATAAGCCAAGCCGATTGTCGGATCAAATCTCTCGACGAGATAGTGGCACAGAGTCGCTCGCAAGCAGCAGGTTTACCAATGACAGTCGGCTGCCGCAGGGCCAGCATGGTATGTGCAATCACTTCCTAGTTCCTACTCCCGACCTTGAGGTCATCGGGCATCGCGGTTACAGAATTATCTTCTAACGATAAATAGAACTACCACAAAGCGTTCACCACCACTCTCTGCATCACAAACAGGTCCGGAATTTGATGGGCGAGAGTGAGCCTCCTAATGGCTCTACTCCCTATAGCCGAACCCCGGAGTTAAGGATATCTCATAAGCTTGCTGAAAGGAAGCGACGCAGTGAGATGAAGGATTGCTTTGAAGCACTCCGTACCCGGCTACCTTCCACCCAAAACAACAAATCAAGCAAGTGGGAGACTTTGAATAGAGGTACGTGGAGCATGCCAGAAACAAGAGTTCTCACTGATGGTATTATCTGATACCACTCTTGGGGATTCCGCCTTTTCTTCCTTGCGTGAACAACTCAGCTGACTCGTGTAGCGATGGATTATATTTCTCAACTAGAGAAGAACCTTACACAATCTCAACACGAGCGGGATCAACTACGAGCCGAAGTTGAGGAGCTCCGGCGGTATGCCACCCAGCAACAACCAACATTATCTAGGCAAACATCTGCGTTTGATATCCCTCACCCTGCCCCAACATTGCAACCAAATGGCATAGCAAACTCAGCACAGACACCGACCTCCTTGTTCTCCTCACCCTTTTCAGCTGGATCGAGCACTTCACTTGTCCCCCCACCCACACATCCTCCGACGCAAGACCCATCCAGAACACTGCCCCCACTCGTAAACCAACCCCTTGCTCCAATGCAAGGTGTGCAGTATACTGATGGAAGATAATGATCCTTTTCACGTTTCAAAACTTCTACCCTGCTTTAGCATTTATTCGCCATTTTTTAGTTCCGATTTACAACAATTTGCACACCGCACCTCTCCTTGTCCCCACCATGATATCCAGCCCTCTCAGCTGTGGGTACCGCTTTTAACATTTTCATTTGTTTGATATCCAAGACTTATACATATTTTCTTTTGTCGATTACCGCCACTTTCGCAGCAATCCCTAGCTACTTGACTACAGAGCTAACTTGCCTTCTCTCCTTTTTTATTATTACAAGAACTTTTCTGGCCCATTTACCTAGTATACCCCATACTACACTTTCTTGCTTATGTCGCAACTTTTCCTTATCGCATAACTCTTCTTTGTACCTTTAAAATTTCCCTTTCCCCTTCTACAATGCATTGCTGATTTCAGCACCACCATTTCGGTTTAGGAAAAACCTGATTACTGGATTTTCAGCTTTAGCTCTGGATGGACTTGGTCTCTCTGCGGTATCTTGCGTTTGGCGCGGTGGAACCTTTCTGAGACTCGGATGGAATCTTTGCTTGGGGGAAAAATGAAAACTGTTCCTTTTTGTCTATTATACCGGTCTGTTGCCGTCTTTGCATTGTTACTTTCAATACCCAACAACACCTTCCCCTTTCATTTCTCGAACAGGACTTGTCCCGAAAACAGCCGGATTAGGAAAACGATCAGTCGCAGATGGGAGACAAAGCAGATTACCCGGTTTGTGATGACTAAGGAAATTCGGTCAGTGGGACTTTTGTCTTCGGATTTCGCTATTGATTGGCGAGTTGTGTGTAATGTGATGAGTCGTTGCCGTGCAGTGGGCATTTTTTCAGTACCATATCAATAATAAAATATACTCATCCAGTTCATCTGTTTAATTTAAACTCTCTGCATTGAGTCAAGAAAACGCGGTTCTAAAATACATTTTTAGATGATTTTGTTGATTGTTTGCGTTATTGTTTATGCTTGTTGGACAGGACTCAGCAACTAGGCTTCTTGTGGTTAGGCTGCTTTATAGGCATCTGCTTACTAATGAGCTTAATTGAACTGCAGCTCGCCTTCGCCTGAACGGGTCAACATCGGAACTGCGACGACGAGCTGGCTACAGTTGATCAAAATGCCAGAAGCTGGTCACTTACTACCTTTTCTTTGTGATGAGACATAACTTGGATGCTTTGTGCGATCTTCTGAGAATTTCCGTTGTCTGTGAAGCACGATGGATCCGCCAGGCACTCCTCCGCGGCCCCCATACTCTCCAGTCACGCCGGTCATGGCATACACCAATCTAACCCCAATTCCAGACTCAGAGAGAATGATGCCACCGCCCGTAGTGCGCACTCCGGCGCCTGAGGCTCCGACCACGCCGGATCTAGGCTCTGATTCTAAATCTCCTCGCGATACCAGCGGAAAGCTCCCCGCTAGTTCGTTCCCGACATCACTCTCCCCGGCTTTTGCTCCCGAGCCGCCACCGGTTCCTATATCTGAATCAGAGAATCCGGATGCCATCGCCCTTCGCTCGGCTATATCCGTCCTCCAGATTCAAAAACAGCAAGCACTTCGAGATATTCGGACATTGGACAAGTTGAAACAAGCCGCTGCGGAATCACCGGAGACGTTTGCAAGGGAAATTATAAAAGGCAATCTAGTAGTATCGGGCGGTGAGATGGATATTTTTAGCCTCCAATCCCACGAAGGGGATGGAGAGGAGAGCGACCATGGGCACCAGAAAAAGGAAGGCCAAAACACGTCGCCTGCACTTGGCACGATCCCAAAGCTTCAGAATGTCGTGAGAATGCCTCCTGTTAACTGGGCAAAGTACCATATTGTTGGTGAACCGCTGGATAGATTACACGAAGAACAAAGGCGCCGACCTTCTCTTGGAGAACCACGTAAGTGG